GCAATCGAATAGAAGGATTAATTTATTCGGCAAAAGCGTTCCTCAGAATAGATTCATCATTTGATCTAACCAGACTATTGATAGTCTATTCTCGTTCCTTCTGACAATCTCCTGGTGAGTGCCAACGATAGATCTCATTTTATTAAAAACTGACTCCAAATGCGACGATGCGGCGGTTTACGAAACTTTAGGACTGGTGCTTGAACTTAGTAAGCATCACCCAACCCTTTCCATTTTTCGTTTTCCCTGACAGTTCGTTTCGATAGTTCGGTCTATGCAACCAGAATTCATGTCCCTTTCGTCTTTATCGAAATGACCCTGAATCTTTCATCCGATTTTGTGGTACATAATGGTTTTCTTAGATTGGGGTTTTAAAGTTCTATGTCAGCCCGTCATACTCAATTTCTTACTGCTAGTCGGGTTATTTTGTTCAATGCTTAAAGAAACCTCTCGGATATGCTTATGTGATTTTGAGCTTCCTTGGTCAGCCGAGGTAGAAGTCGCAGATACCGCACGATCCGACAAACATTCAACCAGACTTACGTGCCTTTGTGTTGAGATAAATGCCCCCACAATAGCTTGAAAACTAAAATACGTACCCTTTAACAGTTATTCTTTTGGTTACTACAGATAGAATTGAAAATACACTAAGTAACTAATATCATGACATGAAGAATGAAGTTAACATTCAATAGACTTCCTTTGCGATGTTTTTCGACTGAGAACTGATTTACAAATCAATACTATCACTTTTCAGACAGTCGCCGAAGTGAAGCACAGATTGATTCCCTATTGGCAATGATTGCATTTTGGTTGCGCACCGTGGCTGGCTAATTGTTTGTTCCGAATGTGTGATATCGTCTCTCTCTCTCTCTTTCTTTGGTGTCTATTTGATGCCGTCAGTTTGATCTGCTATCTTCATTTGCGGAGGGGGGGGGTTGGATAAATGCCGTCGGTGCATCTCTTCCGTCATTTGAGCTTACCCAATCATGGAAAGAGGTAAAGGAACTGGGCGGTCATCTTCCATCCTTCAAGACAAGGATCATGGACGAGCGAGTTTAATTTTACGTCAATAATGAGTCATTTTGTGCGACCCAGATCATTCAACTAAAACGCACTCACGTATTTCAGTCAAAAGACCTTCCTAAGTTGGCACATTACCCGGAATTAGAGATGATGTTCTCGTATCACGCGTTAGCTACATTCACTTTGATTGGATTATGAATGAGGATAAGTTGCATACTGAGTTAATAAGAAATCATGAAGATTGCTACAAAGCTCTGGGAAACTAGTGTGAAGCATTTCTAATGATTCATTCAGCGCAAACAGCCCGTTAAAATAAAATAGCCTATGAATNCAATCATAATTCAGAACATATATGTGAAATTTAGCCGTAAGTAGAGACCAAGATGTGCAGACGTCTTTTTATCGGTCGGGTTTGAAACACTCCACTCGGAGAAAACTAGTCTGTAATTTCCGTGCAGTTGTGTTCGCTCCCGTTCCAACCCTGGTTTTTCCTCGTTGAAAGACCATCGAAGTAGATATATGCGAAAAGCCATATGCAAACAACTGACTTCTTATTTGCCCGGGTTGCTTTTATGACTCCAGTGCTTGGTCAGTGATAACCATGTCCGCCATATACCGTCAAGAAGCTAAGTATTATTTACCCCTAATCGTATGGGATACGGTTTCTTTAGTTGGATATCATTTTGATAAACTTTTGAGCCAAAAGATGGCTTATTGATCATCTGGTCTATCTGTGCAAAGCCTTCTGTGNGGAGTGGCTTGCTAAGCACTTGCCAATTGGGGTAGAACAGAGGGAGTGGAGGAAATTGCTTATAATAGATTCATCAATCTGTTCAAGAAGACTCTACAGTTTCATAAGTCTGGTTGTTAACATTAAAAAAGGAGAAAATCTTCTTGAATAGGATTTTTTACGTCTGTTGACTGTTGTGTACGTTCCGAAGTTTGTTACACCAACGCTACACAATGACTACATCCTGTCTACATCTACGAGTGTTTTCCATAACTCAGATATGATTTGATTACCGGCAAAATCCGCATACACTTTGGTGCAGTATCAAGTTATTTCTGGTGCAGTAAACGAATACCTTGTGAGTTTGGGATAACCTACGGTCGGTTCCGATGAATGTCGATCAACAGTGAACAAATGTCAGGTGCCGGCTACCGCATGCCCGTTCCAGTGGAACCCAGCGGTACAGAGCCGTGAAAGTCCAACTGATCAAATCGAGGACAGATGTGATCCTCGCTCAAGCATCTACAGGGCGAACGGGGCTGTAGTAGATGATCACCGCTTTGCCCGAAACGCTACCCAAAAGGAATGTGCATAAGAACAAGAGCACGATGGCGAAACATGCATTTTAAAAAATCTGCAAACTAATCGATAAATTTGGTTAATATCCAATAAATAGTGCGGAAAATTTGTTTTGTCATTCTGAAGGCAACTTAGCAACGTGTGCGCCGAAATCTCCTCCGCTCTCATTACTGACCTGAATGTTGATAGGATTTCCAAGCCACAATCCATCTTCAGACTCCGTCGACAGCGAGCCGAAATGTAAATAACAGTTGAGCAAATTTCAGCCAAAACACACAGTCAGACGGCAAAAGGTTTGCAAGACTGCAGCAAATAAATTTTCTCGATTAGGGAATGAAGTCCAAACTTGCTGCACTGTACGACTATAACATGAAGATGATGAAGATTCAGCCCCGGCTAATTTCGATGAAAAAATCAGACGAATGTTCCGACAATAACAATGGATAAGAGGCTCAAAGTCATCGTAAAAATACTGTTCTGTTGTGAAATTAGGTAATCAAGAATCTTAGGGATAACATGCATCATTTTATATCTTTTCGAGAATTCTCAACAACGAATTATGTACACAGTTTATTTGTGGTCATTAACAACCAGGGTCCCCGGAAGTGACGAGCCCATCTTATGTATCCGTGAAAAACCGAATCTCCTTCATCATTGCTGCCCCCTAGCTGGCTGGATATCTTTGGGAGTATGTCTCCATTGGTGCAAATCCAGAGATAAAAACTATATAATTGACGTTTAGGGTGGGAGNGGAGCGCCTTGTTTAGTAAGTGGGACACAGCGCTGTCGATCAAACGGAGCAAGTTCAACAGTGGACGAAAAACGGTAGCATATAGTTTATCTTTACCGGTCTATTTTGAGTCTTATCACCAACCTATTGCTGCAATACAGTGAATACCCTTTTCAGTTTAAGATGTCCGAAATCCAATTTTAAATGTCGTAATATGAATTTAAGATGTCCGAGTATCAGTTTAAGACATCATGTTGCTATGTTTTCACTCTGTACTGTGCAAGGTACTATCCACAAAGCAAAATGACATCTTAAATTGATACTCGGACACCTCAAATTCATATTGTGACATCTTAAAGTGATATTTAAATATCTTAAATTCATATTGTGATATCTTAAAGTGATATTCAAATATCTTAAATTCATATTGTGGCATCTAGAATTAGATTTCGGACATCTCAAACTGAAAAAGGTATAGTTAGAATAGCCTGCCAAATAGAGAAATACCAACTCCCATCATCTGGTCCATTACTCCTATCCGTCCACCCTACTCTTTCCGTCGGCGTATGCGTAAAAGATGAAGAGCGAAGCATGGTCTCATCAAGACCACTTAGTTACCGATTGATTGTAACAGAAACCAAAACCACCTCGAAGTAACCAAGACTATGGGGGACAGATCTCACAAAACCCTAAGCATTTCAAAGTCTAATCAAAGTGGCATCAAACCAATTACAATTTTCACAACATCAATTTATTTTTGCCCATTCTCACCGTCCGACAAACAGTAATCCCAATATTTAAAAATCGCATGAGTTTAATCGTAGAAAACTGTGGAAGCGAACACTACACTTTGGCAGAAGATTGACTGTTTTATCATAGTCAATTTAAGCAACGGCTATTTTTTCTGACAAGCTTATTCTTTGGTACACTCAAAGTGTACTGGAAAATTGTATTTGTGTAATATCATTCATCTCAGTCAGTCAGTCACATTTGTCTTTGTACAAGAACCGTTTCTCTTTTCGAAAAAAAGAAGGGTGTAGTGATAGCAGATATGTAAAAAAAAGCTCCGGTAAGTATTCTGTTTGCAGAACACGTCACAATCCTGTTACTAAACAAGTACTAGTGTATCTTCTCGAAATCCCAGGCACCATGGCTTAGCTCAACATGACTGTTTTGATGCACCAGTTAGTATTTGCCTTCCCTGGTTCCTGTCCGTCATGATCAATTCGGAGGGACAGAAAGGCAATGCCAGTGGGATTGGTGTACATATGCTTTCAATGGATAACCGGAATCATCTCAACAATTATAGATAGCTACACCGTTTGTATTCTTTCGTGTTTGAATGACCATTTCTCGTCACCAAATGTTCATCAACGTCAGAAATATGTTTTCGCTATTGGATGTCACGAATCGCTTTGGGGGGAGGGGGGCTAAGTGCGGTGGAAATGTTTGTGATGGCCGACAAAGAGCACTGGACAGCTGTTTCGTCCTGTTTGGGACTCTTCAGCAGTGCGTACGATTTTGTGTCCCTGTGAGGACTCGAACCGCGAAATTTGGGTTCGGACTTCAAACCCTTACCCCTGAGCTACGCGGTCGGCGGTTATCACCTTTTGCGTTGAAATTCGATCGATAACAAGTACCATTTGCAGCACGATATTGGGCCACACGCAAATCAAGGAGAGGAGTTCAAGTAGCATCAAATAAGTATGGACATTTCGGGTGGGGGGGGGCGTGAGGGCAGATGTGGGACCTATGTATGTACAAGACGATTGAATATTATGGAATACTGACAGTATCGTCGTTGCTGCGTTTTCGTTACGGATATTCTGTCCCCATTTACCCACCCTAGTCGATGGTTTCTCAATCATTACTATTACACCTTTCCTTTCTGTCCCTACAATCATACTGACATAGTTATTCAAAACCGTCACCGAAATGGACAAAGATGCGGAGATGATGGAGAACAAGCTGAATTCTGGCAATTTCCGACCCAACAAAACAGCTGCTTCATATCGTGCGTATTCGGGGGGATTTCAGTCCGCGCGTCCACGAGGCTCGGGATTGGATCAACCGTATGAGACACGAAAACGTGACATGACAGTAGCACGGTTGGCCTCGGAATCAATAACCGGTACCGGTAAGGTCTGAGTTTTTGTTGTTGTTCATTCTATGTTGCTTTGTCCATTCCTCCTTCCACACTTTATCATCACTGATCACCGAAGTGGCTTTGAGTAACAATGTGCTCTCGAATCCATCAAAGTTAACTGCATGGCTGCACGTCCACAATTATCCAAATGCAGGATCTCACAGTAAATTTGAGATACCGTAGCTGCAAGAAGGTGCGGAAGCAAAAATTATGAATAAATGATGCAGGTATGCTCAGAAAACGTGAGTGGGATTCCGATTAGCCAACAACGATCGACCAGAGTTCCGACTAGGGAAAATATCCCATCTCGTCCAAATTACACGAGGTAAAACTTGAATAAAATCTCAGGTTGTGCGCAGCCCGTGAAATGGCTGTTTGTTAAATACCACCGCGACGGTGCCATCAATTTGCTCAGAAAACAAAGTTCAGTGAGAAAGAAATTAGTGGTGGATGTATCATGAAAACACACGCATTTTATCGACTGACGGTGGAATACATTACAAGGCAAACAAAACGTGGGACAAAGTTAGAAAGATTTGAGATAAAAATATCCAATTTAAGGGAGTATCATTATGGAGCTGTGAAGTTTGACACAAATAGGATGAGGATTTTCCTTGATTTTGTTTTACGAGAGGCTGGCTGCGGATTTGTTTTGATCATAAGTTTGAAATTCTTTGTGTAGCAAATGAAGCGTTACCTGAAAAACTAGGAAGCACTGGACAGCTGTTTCAACTCGGTTGGGTCTGATCGTTTCGGTTCATCATATGATCAAACCCGTTCCTCCATTGCTCTCACCTAACAGTCATAACCCTGGAAGATAGTGCCAAGATGTGCAATGTGGTGCTTTCATTAGGTTACCAGGATGATGTATCGCGTATAAGGAAAGTTTAACACTGTCTGATCAGCTGCCGAGTGGGTAGTATGCTTCTGCCTGTAATATCCCGCATCAATCCCAAGTTCGGTTGATGGATTCGCTCACTGCTGATGAGACCCAACCAAGTCGGAACAGTTGTCCAATGCTTGTCAGTTTTTAGCTCACGCCGCTTGTGCTCTTTACATAATAAAACTCAACGTATAATTAGTTAGAATTCACGATGGTCAAATGCGAAGCCTTAATTGTAAATTTTCAAGTCGCGGATTTATCTACTAAGAAGGAAAGCAGGGTCAAAGATGCAAAACATCATCGCGACAAAATTATTCAAATCAACCCCTCCCCTCCTCCTCATTTCACTTTCAATCAAAACGATAAAATAATTTGCCCGCCACGCACAGCCGTCTTTGGATAATCGAGAATAATTAGCAATGCGTATTGGGCTATTCCCCAGCATGGAACTCCGAGAGAGGTTATTCCATCGAGATGTTTATCTGCACCAGTTGACAACTGTTTTTCTTGGAACTCAACTCCAGGATTCAATGTTGATCTCTCCTTATGATTGAAAGTGTCAAGCTTTAGTCGACAGATGGGTGGTATATCAAGACGTTTTAACATATCAAAAACTCCTATGATAATCCGAGATGGTAACGCAACAGTTTCCCCCAAACGCTTAATATACAACTGTTTCTTCCATTTTGGGAATGACACAACTGTATGATATCCCTGATGTTCCTATATATATACAGATCTCCGCCCCCCCCCCGCCTAATGACATAATCAAATCTTCCAGCGTAAGTTTTTGTTGCTACTATTTATTTGAATGAATTTAATTTAAATATCTACGTATTTCTTTCGTCCAACTATAGAACACGCTTATCCCTTCTAAACCAGCGGCACACTATTTTGTTTTGCAATTCAGAGAAGAGTTTCAGTGACATATTTTGCGAAAAGTTTGCGAAAAGTATTTATGTATCATATATATATATATATATATATATCACCAGATTATATGCTTGGAATTTTACTACTCAGTGGTAGTTGCTGCCCAAATGGTCGGAATATATTCTTTGGGCAGTTTTGGCAGTTCCCCGGCCCAATTTCTTTTCTCTGACGGTTCATCTCAAACGATAAGTAGTGGCATGGTGTACAACCAATTGGTAAATCAGCGAAGCGAGGTAAAGATATGCCGCCCTGTTGGAACCCCACCCAAAATGGTGAAAAATTGAACTGCTTGCTCTAAGTCGCTGATTCAATCCGACTGGTGTGTGAGCACATTCCTATTGCTGCTGCTGCTGATGATGATGATGATGATGATGATGATGATGACCACCAGTGTACCAAATTACCGGCGACACTTATGACTCACAGGTGGGACGATCAACTTTCCAGTTTCAATTTTATTTGCTTCTGCCTGCCAATCTCTCTCTAGAGTCACGAGATTCAGTAGTTTGTGTTTACACTGCATCAACTTTTTCGCGGGATTCCATTACTTATTATGTGGAATTTATATTGTATTTTTGGGCACCAGCTCGTTCTCACTCATCTTCGAAGAAACGCGTACTTTCTTTTTTGTTTATTTGTAATTTGTTCTTGTTTGCGGTTGGCCAGTGATTTTTCCGCTATCTTGGCTGACTGCCTCTTTCGACCGAGGTGAGAAGCCTTACTGGATATGATCACAGAGACCTACGAATACACTTATTTGCGCTGGAAAATGGACATGCAAAAACATCTGGAAAAAACGCATTAGACAACCAGGTGACAGACATGAAACGCAACAACAGAAATAACCTCCACATAGATAAAAGAACAAACAACATAATGAGAATGAAACAAACAAGCTCATCGTCTAATTAAATTGGTTTGATCACTTATTGTTTTTCTTTATCAGAAGTGGCAGAAAATTTCTACATCAACGGTTTTTTATTTTGAGCACGCATTTTTTTCTACCCCTACCGTTCCCAAGTTGTTTACTCCATTAGCATGCTCCCACATGCACTATTCTTTTGGTTTTGATGTCATCTCTTTAGATGCCTATTGTAAAACAGCGAAGGACTATTCAAATCAATCTTCTTTATTTCTTCGTGATTGTGATGTAAAATAATTAAATGATAGCTTGATGACCTTCATCATTTTTAGAGCGAAAAATCATGAACCAAACCTTCTGTGGAGTACTATGCATCCGTTCGTGGATCATTTTTAATCATTTATTATTTACGAAACACATCGATGTGATGAATAGGTAACCGTGGTGGCCCACTGGAGCAAACAGTCGACCTCCATAGCTTGTGTTAGTTGGTGTATGTGTTACGCGTGTCATCAAATAGGTTTCCACGGTGAGCGATGTTCGCCGAGGCAGGTAGTGGGTGGAATAAAGCCAAGGGTGGTCAAGCTAAGACCTGGTACAAGAGTATGAAAACCCTAACCACCAGACTCGGTCATATAGATCCTGTTAGGCTTCCTGGATGGGGACCCCGAGATGATGGTCACCGATGGTTTGAGATATTGAGTGATATGGCTAAGTGTCGTAAACAGTGGCGTTTGTGCATATTCTCGATTTCTTTGCAACATTATTCTACTGAAATCATCCATTTTGTTTCTATTCAACTCTATCTTCAACCTTCCTGTCTTTATCCTACTGTTCGTCCAAATGGGCAGCCAAAGCGAAAAACCAAAACCGGTGCACGAAAGTGCATGACTAATGGTTGTTTAAACTGAATCTGAATCTGATGTGGTGAACGTAAGATGGGTTGTACTCCATGGACACAAAGACTTGCTGTTCAATGCTGGATGCCGGAAACCCAAGCCCCGGGCTTTGCGTGGCAAACCACGTAAGGTCGCGCTAGATTAAGCGTGGTATTGAATCGGACGAAAGCGGCACTGCCTATCACCAAAGTTGGGTGCCGATGACCGTGCTCGAACCTCGGCCCATGTGGTCCAAAGCATGCCAGTGACAGGGACTCAACCACGGCGCCACTACCACCACCGCTTCCCTGTGGCATTTTGGTCTATTCCGGATATTTCCGATCTAGTTCTGGTAAAGGGAACGGAGTTAGATGTTTGCTAATACTCTACAACTAATGGTTTAATTATGTAGTGTATAGAAAAATTGAAGCAATTTGATTCACCTCCCGATAATCAAGTTTCATCTATCCTGCGCTTCTTTTTCATAAAATAAAGATACCCATGCAAACCCCATAATCGATGGCACTCACTTGACTTCAAATTACGCGATCGTCTATTCACCAGAGCGCGTTGGAAATGCAGAATCAGCCAGGTGTAACTCGGAGCTCCATAGCCGAATCACCTGATATTAAAAAAACTCTTTACAGTGTTATATCTCATCGAACCACTGTCGGATGACTTGTGAACGCTGGAGCATTTCAGCAAAGATGCCACCTGAAAACCAACAACAAGTGCAAGACGGTGAATGAGGCAACCTTGGCTTGGTTTACTGCGATGACGGAAAAGCCCAGCGAGTTCCGCGTGAGGGAGAGTATCATTTGCAAGCAGGCAAATCAGTTAGCACAAAGAATGCATCATCGTAACTTTAAGGCTTTTGTCCCGTACTCTCACTGTGCTGTACCTGACTCATTCTTGTTTTCATCGAATGAGTTAATAGTCATGTTGTGATTATTATAGCTAAACAGTTTTGTATTATGATGGACACCATATGCTTAATTCCGTAGTTTGCCTAAAATTGCAAAGGAACGGGGGAATATATGGAATTAATATGCGTTGATTTGGTTAAAAAACATGCCCCTGAAGAAAGATCAGCATTTTCGGGGTAACAAGAGACTTGAAAGTGAAAAATGCCTGAATACTGGATGCAGTGTACCGATATTAGGCTATTGGTATCGTAAAAGGTTTCGATATCTTGGATGCATAAAGTATACACTGGACTGTATATTTAAATTCCGTTATAAATCAACAGCACACAATTTTAAACATTGGGAGCCAAAATTGGAATTGAGGTAGCTTTCGTCGATCCGATTTATTTTATCACAAAACTCTCAAAAGATTTTTCATGCTTCCTAATAGACTCAACTACAGACTAACAATCTGTGTCGCAGTTCCTGAAATTTATTCATTCGATCGAATTCCCGAGGGGTGCGACATGGTATGAGGTTG